AAAAAAAAAAAAATGCCTCTGCCTTTTGCAGCAGTAATTTAAACCCCACATTGGAAAGCAAGATCAAAAAGTTCCAAATTGATTAACATGGAAATTACTTAGCCATCAAAACCGCTGATGTCGTAAACAAAATTCATCAACAGCCACTAAGAATTCATTGAAAGTAAATTTATTGTTTGTTTAAAAAAAAACAACAACAACAACTGTGCAACACGTGCTGCTCAAGACATTGGGAACCGGGTTTGGTGCTCATCTCTTCTCAGGCTTCAGTTTGGCAAGGCTAAATGAGAGACACGGTACAGACACACAGTTAGTAAGCACAGAGCAGGGGCAACAACAATAGTGTTTGTTATTCTCTCAAACCTAAGGTGCGCCATCCAAACCGTAATAGTAAAATTTAAGATCCGAGCATGTCCACTGTGTTCTGAAAATGATTATATTCTAAAAAGGAAAAGCTGACAGTATATCTGATTTCAACCAAACAAGGTTTCCAATGAAGTTTTCTATTTCCTCTTACAGAACTGAATGAAACAATGCTTCAGGGATCCAGGTAATTAATTTAAGTGTAATTGGAGAATTCAATTTTAATGGCAACACTGCAACGTTACTTTTGCTCTAGCTTTCCAAAGCAACAGGCTCTCAGCTATCACACAGGGACAATGGCAAGAAAGAAATCAGAGACATGTGCCATAAGGCCAGATCTCGCAAGAGCCTTTAGTTTGGGGGCACTTGCAATTCTCTGAAATTCAAATGATAATAGTTCCATTTTTCCAGCAGAGCAGTATCAAACTGCACTTACTTCAGGGCTAAATAAAAAGACACATCATTTTAAATTCCTAATATACGAGAAGACAGGATTTTAATGTCTTGTTGGTAACTTCTATTTAGAGATGGAAACTACGGCCAAAACATGTTGCTTAAAAATGCTGTTGCTTTCCTTTAAAAATGCACACATTTAAATCATGAAACAACTGTTCTTCTTCCTTTAAAGTATGTATTTAGTTCTCTCTTTAGTGACACCTCATATAATTGCAGGGTTCTCAGCAATGTTTCATGGTGCAAAATTTGAATAGCCAAGCATCTGAGGATCAAATGCACACAGACTCAAAATGTCAGCCCCTCCCTCTGCTCTGCTGGCTACGTTCAGAGTCATGTCTACCTGTTCCCAAGCACACTCTGGTTTCTTAGATACAAAGCCACTTTAATTATGCTAATAGGAGTTCTGTATATGCCAAAGAACATGCAGTACGTACAAGAAGAAATTAATACAAACAGGAGACACTTTACATTTGTTATTGGATTCCTTATGGATTTAAATTTGTGACTTAAAACTTGCATGAAGGCAGCGTTTCCATTTCATATGCTCCATAATTTATAAACAGAAGAGGGATTCATCTGACTCCCAACATTCTTTCCTAGAGCTATTTATCAATAATTAAGATATTTTCATGACTACTATACAATGTGTGAAAAAGAAACCATGTTTCCTGGGTATGCCAATGACTAACACTACCTATTCAACCCACCATCAATCTCCTCTGGTCACTTTTCAAATATGGTCACTCTCTTTGGTCCATGTTGTGTTTAACCAAGAATGTCAGCAGGGTTAGGAACTCTGTCTTGGGAGGGAAGGGTGGGGGGAGACAGACAGACAGACAGACAGGGTGGTTGCTAGGTGGGGAAGATCCTGTGAGCACGATCATGAAGGAAAACATACTATTTTGTCAAGTAGACTACAGAGAAAAAGCATGTATGCTACTATATTTACGTAGAAAGTGGTCTAATGTCCCTTGCCATTTTTTATTATCTGAACCACAAAGCAGAGAAACCCCACACCGAGACCCACTGCTGCTTCGTACCTCAGGCCTGAGCAGGCCGCTGGGCTGCAAGCCCACCCCTGTACTAAGAAATGGATACGTTCGGATATGTTTGGATAGAGCTACTTCAAAGCAACACTGCTCAGGAAGTCATGCCCAAAGAACAAAGAGAAGGGAGGAAACTAATTGTAAGATCTTACTGTATTCCTCTAGGTGGTTAGAAGAAGAGGTGAAAGTGGAGGAGGAAGAAGGAGAAAACATAAAAGAACGAACCCAAGTTTCCTTAGTCTCAAATAATCAGATTCAATAGGCATGAAAGTTTGCTTAAAAATGATTTCAAACATCTCCAGAAGCTTCAAGAGTTTTCTCAAACAGTAGTGACATATAGTAAAAGTATAAAGACAGGATTAAAAGCTAATATTCAAAAAAGGAAAAAGTTTGTTTCCCGCTTAATCGAGTATGCTCAAGTCGTGGTCAAGGAGCAGCATCCATGAGCCACAGCCCTAGGGGCGGAAGCAGAGGTTTGTGATCAGACCAACACAGCCTTGTCCATGACTGCAGACCTGACGCAGCCACTCTGCTCAGAGATGTATTTACGCTCCCACTGCAGGAAGGGAGCTGTTTTAAGGAATGTATAGCCACCCTTGGCAGAAGAAGTACCCCCAGTAAGGCTGACTCCACATCTTAAGGAGCTGGGAGGGCCAGGGGTGCAGGAGGTGCCCTGGGGGTCTCAGCACACACCCACAGGGCAGGTGTAGTCCTCCTAGAAGCAAAGGTCATACTACAGGGAAATATTCTGGAAGTGATGAGTTTTGACTATTAATTAACAAGATACAGTGAAATTTTAATAACGGCCGTGGACTGGATTGCAAATTTTATCTAAACTGAACAACTGGTTCTCATCAACCATCGAGGGTACACTCCAGCAAACCACTGACTCTAGCACACAGAGAATACAGATGTCCAGGATTTCATTTACCAGTCATTCTTAAACACTAGGAGAACAGCAGCCTCAGTTAAAAAGCAACAACAATAATAAAAGAACCTTCAGCCCTGTACCTGAACATAGAATTCAATTTTCAAGAGTACACTGGCTTCTGAAATTACAAATGGGTCAACTTCTTTATCACAATGCTGGCTTTCGTTGTTGGTTATAAGTATAGCCTATGGATTGAGATCTAGGAAAAACATTACAGGGTGCCTTGCAAGACCTTTACCAGCAAGAGGGGCGTGATGTGTTGCTCTTCAGGGTCCCTTTAAAACTCTCCACTCCTCTGCCCCCCAATAAAAAGCTCTGATATTACAGTGGCAAGTTGCAGATGATGATAATTTATAAAATACTGGAAGTTTGTTTATCTATTATTCCATATCAACAGCAAGAGTCCTGTATCTACCAGGTAAGCATTGGTGGTAGTGAAAATGAACAAGCACTGGATCCCGAAGACTTCAGGGCACTGTGGGGCTAGGACTAGGCCTTGAGTCTCAGGGGAGGGCTCCTCCTACCTCTTATTCTCACATTTAAAGAAGACAGTGGTACAAATTCCTTAAATTTTAAGTGATGGGCAGCAGCCTAATTTCTATGCAGTTTATGAGCTCTTCTTTTGCATACATACACTGGAGGGAAAACCCCCTGGCTGACACAGGAGCAGAAATGACGTGGCAGTTAGAGCAGCAGCATCGCGTAAGTATTCTTGGACATGGACATAATGAAGAAAGATGAGCTTACTGGAAATGCATTCAGAAGGAGTCATATATTAAAAAAAACAGAAACTATGAAGAGCCCGGTGTTCTGAAGCACTGAGAGAAAGAAGTACAGTATTATTTAAATCAAAGATAATGTCCAGGCTCTGTGTGTTAATGTACGCCTACTTCTGCCCTCACGCACACATTAATTTTATCGCATGCTTATAGAACACATCTGCTGTGTCCTGAGGGCTTTGGGCTGGGCTGTGACTCCTGGACTTTTCAGCACTGACATTTCTATGACACCCTGAATTATTGAGGTCAACCTGAGCATTGTAAATCAAGGGAATTCTATGAAAATAAAAACTCTTATTCACATTGTGCAATTAAAAACAAGTTAAAAGGAAGGGATTCATAATGCAGGATACCTACTTTTTGAAAAGCCAAGAGGCTTGCTGTATGTTTTCAATTTTAAACCATCATCTTGATATGTTTAGGGGTTTAATTTATGGAACAATCAAGCAATCTTTATATTTAACATTAAATGCCTGAATACTATAAATCACCTTAGATGAACATTTATGTGGGAGTTTCAGTGAAACTTCTGAACAACTTGTCACTTTTATTGTATAGCAGTGATTTGTAAAAAATGATATGCTAAGTAATCCCAGAGAATAATTTAGGGACACAAAAACAACTGTCAAGAAGCAGCCAGAGACTACATTTAATGAAATCGTTACAGACTGAAGTAATAAGTATTAAATTAATCAACACATCTTAATTGAAGCTCTATCTGTAACATTTTTTATTAGACTTGTTATTAATGAACCTTTAAATGCTACCACTAACTTGAGTTCTACGTTAAATTTAAATAATGAACAATTGTTCCCACACAGAAAAGAACAAACACCGCTTTAATAGCCCTTTGTCTCAGTGGAGCTTTTATTCTGGGCTGGAGAGAGATGGGAGAACTCAGCTTGCTTCCTTGCCACAGTATCTGCCCAGCTGTCACCAAGGAGGTGAGACAGCCAGAAGTGACCGCAGTGAAACGGGGAGGAAGGTGGGCAAGTAGTAGCTAAGAGTGGAAATGACATGAGAATTGTGGCTGACCTCACAGATAATGCTTCCAAATCTGTGCCTTTTATAAGCTCCCAGTTACACCCAGTCCTGTGTCACGTAACAGTGTTCCGGCCCACGATGGGTAGCAAGACAACAGGATGCCCCGCGCTGCCCAGGGGTGCACTGGGCAGCACCACCTCGGTTTCTGATGCTCACGCAATGGAAAGGTCACCTGAAGGTGGACTTCTCAACTGCACACAGTGTTAGGCAAGCCGTGGCTGTACGTGGAGGGATGTTCTGATTGGGGTTGGCACACACTTACCTGAACATGTCTCCCAAACCCTTCAGCATCCCCTTCTTGGCTTTCATCTTATCCTTGTCCTTCTCTCTGTCTTTCTTCTTCTCCTTGCCAGTTTTGTCCTTCCTCCGGTCAGTCTTGTCCCCTTTTTCTTGGTTCCCGTTCATGTGTCTCTCCAGAGAGTGGGATGGCTGGTCACTGGCTGTGGAGACAGATTCTCTCCCTGACCTTGAACTTTCCTCTGTGTCTTCTTCCACTTGAAAGAAAGAAAAAAAAAAAAAAAACAATTAAAAAGAGTACAGCGAGTGACGGCAACAAAGTGACTGGAAACTAGAGGACCCAGGAGGTCATGACCGCCCCTATTTTCAACAGGGGAACGGCTCTACCATCAGTATGGGTTGCAAAACTGCTCAAGGCTGATGACATCTGAGGGGATGGAGTGGGCATGTGCCCTTCATGGAGCTGGACAACCTGAGCAAGGCAGAAGCAGCTTTCAGGCTGAATGCACGGCAACGCCTGCTCAGGGTCCTGGGCACTAGTTTATAAAATGGAACTAAACAAAACAAGAAGCCCCTGCTTCTCCCCCATGCTTCCTTGCTCCGTGGTTACCGAGAAGGGAGTTGCGCTCTGGCACCTCATTAACTTGCTAAGCTGCAGCACTCAGGAGTAAGCACGCCAGTGTCAGCAAAGCGCTCCTACCCCAGGCTCCTCGACACGTTCATGTAAGGTTTCTGGACACAAGAGAGAGGATTTTGCTTTTAATAGCTACCACAGACCCTCATAGCCTCTGTAACTTTTCCTTACACTGTTACGAGGAGGCCAAACACCCTAAGTAAATGCTACCACATGTTCTACATACTCAAACCCTCAATAATTCTCCATGCCCACCTGGACAGTGGCAGACAAACAGAGGAGAATGGCGCCATGAAAAGGGGTCAATGAACAATCCTCATTCCTTCAGACTTTGCAGATGAAAACTCAATGGTTCAAGGGCAAGCAATACCCTTGGCTTTTTGCAGATGGAAGAACAAGTAACTAAAGTAGGCTTCTACTTTAGAATTTCTCTATCAAGTAAAAAGCATGGATGTACAGAAAAACAGTAATTCAGACAAATCTGTTCTGAGATTTGTAGCCTAAAATTGCCTTCCAAATACAGTAAGAATGTTGGGGTCTTCAGATGACTTCTTGAATTCAAAAGTCACTGTTTTTTTCAGAATGAATGAAGTATGGATCAGTGTTTTTGAGTTTCTAGTAACACACAGTCAAATAATACAGTTAGATCATCTCAGTCTTGTGAAAAGAAATGACCTCAAAATCAAGTTTATGTACCTTAAGAGAAACATAGGCTTGCCTCTCTGGAACTAGCAATATGTAATACCACAGGATACGACTAGCTAAGTAGTATTTCTGATGTGATCAGGGTTTTGTTCATAAAGTCTTAGCCTATACTTATGTCTTCAAGAAGAGTAGGGGCCCTCTCTTCCAGATTTAGTGCTTCTGTTCTAATATTTAGATCTTTGATGCACTTTGATTTTAGTTTAGTATATGGTGAGAGACATGGGTGTAGTGTTAGTCTTCAGCACATGGAGAGACAGTTTTCCCAGCACAATGTATTAAAGAGGCTGTCTTTCCTCCAGTGAAGGTCTTTGGCCCCTTTGTTGAAGATAAAGTGGCTGAATGTATTTGGAGGTGTTTCTGCATCTTTTAATCTGTTCCACTGATCCTCAGGTTTTGTTTTTTGCCAGGACCATGCTGTTTTTATTATAGTAGCTTTGTACTATGATTTCATATCAGGCATTGTAATGCCCCCTGCTTTGTCATTTTTATACAGTGCAGTAATACTCAGCATAAAAAAGGATAAAGTTGAAACATTTCTGGGTAAATTGATGCACCTTGAGACAATACTCTTAAATGAAACAAATGGGACACACATGTGTAAATATCATACTGTTTCTCTGGTATGAGAAACAGAAAGTTTAAGTAAGGACCAAAATGAGTAATACATACTGTGCAATAGGAAGAAAATGTACAAAGGGTAAGGGGAACTAGGAAGGGTGAAAGGAAGGATGGGGAAAGAAAGAAATGAGAAAAGAAGGGAAAAAAGGAAATAAAGCTTTTGTAAATAAGGAGGGAAAGGGGGACTGAAGGGAGGGAAGGGGGATGGGAAAAAAAGAAGAAGAAGCAAGAAATAGCATGGACAGGTACACATTCCCTATGATGAATATGATCATTATGTATACCTAAAAGGTACCAATAAACAATTTTTAAAAAGACTAGCTGAGACGGCCCCAATTCCAGTCCTATGCCATTAAATACTCACAAATCTGAGTAGAAATTATTAAAGGATGGCTTAGTCAGGCCCAAGTAGTATGCTTTTGGGTTTATAAGATTCTGGTTATTATGTGTAATATAAAAAACAAAGGTATAGAATTTTTTTTCTCGATATGTTTGATTAAAAACATGAGCCCACTAAGTTCCTGTTCCTCTGCAGGCCATTCCTTAGGCACAGCCAGAACAAAAACATCACTCTGTCTAAATCTGGAAGGTCCTTGGAGGTCATATGGACCAATTTCTTGGACTTGGCATCAGTGGCCTTGCCGTCTGAGGCTACCATGTCTGCTATAATATCACTGTATGGTTGGACTTTAGCAAGACCTTCTTGCATTTCTTTGATAATTCCATTTGCAAATGCTCAATTGCATGCTTCAGACAGCAGGCATTTGTGTGCTCTACCCTAGATAGTCCCAGGAGCCAGCACTGCATTTCAGAAAACTACTGTCAATTTTACGTTGTCATTTAATGCTGGGACTTGTGGTTCATACTGATGAACATACCCAGTGAGCCACAGTAAATGAGCACAGCAGACTCTGGACAACCCACTACCCACAAAAGTGACTTTAGAAAACCTGGCCGCCACCTGTCTGGGGTCATCTAACTGTGAGCCATCTTCCTCTTCCAAAGAGCCAGGCAGCACCGAGAAAATCTGCTTCTTTTTCTCTCCACCAATTATGGATAAATATTGACTGTGCAAGATTATTAGAGGAAGCCAGTTATCACTTTCAGATGGACATGGTCAAAGTCCACAGCCTCACAGATAATGCTGAGTTAAGGCAATAATTTTTGTGGTGCACTCTGGTATGAAACAATAACTTGGCCAACTGGCCTAAGAGCCTGCTAATTAGCTGTAGTCTTTTCAAGTGACAGCTCCCAAGAGAATGCAAATACAGTTTAAGCAGCACTGCAGTGTCTTGTCTACCCTTGGACATGGCTGTATTCCACCTGTAGACCACTGCTTCGATATTTGGGAATGTGTGTGGCTGCAAATTCAAGGTAATTGATTAAATTATTATAAAATAATTGCTCAAAAGTATAAAACCTACCACTACTGGTTTAGTCAAGCAGGCTAAATAGATGCTAGTAAATGTTCTACAATCCCGAGTGGCAACCAGCTTTATATTTCCATCGCTATTAGTACAATGCTTTATTTAATATTGCGCTTCTCACATGCTATCTCATAAACGTCCGCCTCTCATTCTCATGCTCTTAAAACAAGGACCGCCATACAAACAGCAGATGCAAATAAATGCCTACTAACATGAAAGACTGCTAGCTAACACCAGACCAATGATTCTTTCCAACCAAACTTTGATCCAACTTCTGAATATCAACATCCTTCTACCTTCATAAAAATGTTTACTTTCCTCTATTCAAGCCTGACAAAACCAGCCAGAACCCAACTACAGTCACACTGAGGATGCCCATTGCACTTGGTTTAGCATTAATCGGTTGCTGGTATATTTTTACACTGTTGTTGTCAGTGGTATATGTATCATGTAATGGATTTTACAACCCTCTACAATGTCTGAAACTATAAACAAAAAAATGAGCTCAATAAACATAAATGAGTTAGCCTTCCACAGCAACCATTATCATAAATCACGACTGGAAGTATCAGTAGCGATTTTGTTAGTTTCTGCCTAATACTTCTGGCAGGAGTTCAAGGGGCATATGTCTGCTCTTGGCTCAGTAACAGAATAAAGGCGGTGCCTTCACAACTCACTATATGCTGAAGTCATGTTTGTTGCCAATTTTCTTCATAGTCACAATAATTTTCTGGTGTATGTAATGCAACTTACTTTCTAAATTGGGTGAAATACAGAAAGCATTAAATCATTTATTAACTTTGGGTTTTGTAACCTCATCTTATAAAATGAAAACTACTTCACTTTCCTGCCCCAAGCAAGTGGATTGATCAAAATGATATTTGCGTAGCTGAGAATTCTTTATGCTTATTCTAATTTAGATAATACATTATCACAAACTCTACTGGGGGTATACTGATCTAACTAATCCTTTTGAATGCCAACTAATTAAAAATATTTAGCAATATGGAGCTTCATATGTATAAACATAAGATGTTCTTTTAGAATATCACATTTTATATACGCTTCAAACTCAGAAATTGTTCAATAAAGAAAAAATAAGAATCTCTCATTTTACCCTGCCCTTATGTAAAAAAGCTATGGCTTATAAAATAATTGGCTACATAAGTTTAATTTTTGAAAATATACATATATATATTCAAGGTCACTGATATGCGAGTCAGCCTCTAAATTTTAAAACCAAATTTTGTACTTGTAGTACTAGCTTTACTATAAGGGCCATAAAATATTGTTATTTCCCTAAGCTAAAAAAACACAAAACATTCATGTGAACAATTTGTCAACTAAGAAAAGTATTAGTAATACATCAGCAGTAAATGACTTGATCTATTGTGTTTATACAGTAAATTATAAGAACTAATCATAAACTTATCTTTAGGTAATTTACTATTTTAAATGCTGTATAAATTCTGATGTTTTCCACTTTAATTTTGCTCATCTTTACAGATTATTTACTTTCCTTTCCAAAATAGCTTGAACAAAGAAAGATGATTATCTCCTTCCAAACAAATAGAAATGTCTATTTTTACAATATTTCTGCCTGTTTTAACCTGCTCTATGCACCAAACTCCAAGCCACTTCCCCATGTGATTACTGATAAAGACAGGTACTGTTCAAGTTTCTTTTTTTAAAGAAAGTAATGCGTGAAGCTACTTATTTCTCTTTCACACAGCACAGTCATTCTGCAATTAAGACATACCTAATTACCATGTTTTCAACAGATGCAAATGTAGCTCAATTAAAATTCCAGCCCATGTTACAAATTAAGCTGCTCAATTCTGCAGGTATCATGGTGGAATGAGGTCACCAAAAA